GAGCCGAAGGCAGACGCTTAACGACGGAGCCGCCCAGGCGCCCCTGCTGTTCTATTTTAATTTGGACCCATTGCTGTGTTGGCTCTGTGTGTGACTCACCCTGTGATTAGGTCATCGTGTGTCTGGGTCACTTGCATGGTCCCCTGGAGTCCACATCTTTTTCTCTCCTGGACACTTTTGCTGGTAGTACATCCTCTAGTATGTTTTTCAAACAGAGGTTTTAGGTGTAAACATTCCAAGGCACTTCAAATATGAACGTAACATTATTTTGCTTGAACTTGATGGACAGTTTGACTTCATAATAACTTCTGGCTTCAAAATAATTTCCCCTCAGAGCTTTACAGGGATGCTGTTCTGATCTTGTTCCGGTTCCCTCTTGGAGCCCTGCAGGCTTAGGAGGCTGGGGCTGTGTGTCTGGAGTCCATCTGTCCCTGTTGGCCTTGGTACGAGGGCTTTTCCGTCTGTAGAGCCTGTCCTTCATCGCTGTCTTCAGGGGTTGTGTCCCTCCTGGTCCCCTCCCAGGTCACCAACAGACTTTATGGGTCCAGCCTCTGTGACCTGTAGTATTTGTCATATCTTCCTATTTTCCATGTTTTGCTTTGTGTTCTAGGATGGGATGAGCCAACTTTTCATGTGAAAAGGGCCACGTAGTGACTGTGTTAGGTCTCCTGGGCCCAGAGGTGAAATCAGGGATGTTGGTAGGTATTCTTCAAGCAGAGAGGAAACACATTTCCACAACCATTTTTTTTTTAAGATTTTTATTTATTTATTCATTTGAGAGCGCGCGCAAGTGAGCGAGAGAGAGCACGAGAGCAGGGTGAGGGGCAGAGAGAGAAGCAGACTCCCCGCAGAGCAGGGAGCCCGATGCGGGACTCGATCCCGGGACTCCAGGACCATGACCTGAGCGGAAGGCAGACCTTTCACCGACTGAGCCACCCGGGCGCCCTCACTGGCGAAGAGCACAGTGCGATCACCGTCGAGGACAGTTTGCTTGTGATGCGGCCCTACCGAGACCGGGGGGTGGAATTGTCTTGGGGGCTGGTGCGTTGTTTGAGTGGGCTTCAGAGTGAGCGCTGTCGGCACACTGGCTGGAATGTCCGTTTGTAGGGGGTCTCGCTGTGGGCTGCCTCCCGGTCACTGGTTTCAGCCGTGGGAGCGGCTGCTCTCTGCTGGCCTCTGCATCTCGACACCCTTTCTTGCTGTATGTCACCGCCGCGTTTTGGGGGCAGCCCTCCCGGGACGCCTGCAAGGGGCCGTGCGCCCGTCCCTGTGTCTGGTCTGCGGTGTCTGCCTGTGCGCTCGCTGGCCTTGCTCTTTCTCGCCCAGCGGGCGACTGTGGCATCTGTGAAAGCAGGCCACCTGGCTGGGGGCGGCCACCGGCTGGGGGCGCCATCCTGGGGACCGCTCTGCACTGGCCCTCATCGGTCCTGCTGCACCAGGATATCTTGGAGGAAGAAGGAGATGTTCGCACCCAGGGCACGTGCCGCCCCAAGTCCCTCAGGAGATAAAGGGACAGTCTGGTCGATGCCGGGCTTTATTTGAGCACATCTGGTTCGGGGCCACCTCCCTGTCCTGCGCGCCTTCTGCGTCTGTGACGCGCGTGCTCATCCTTGGGGCGATTGGGGTGATTGCTTCAGAGCCCTCGGTCTTCTCAGTCCAGAAGTACTGAACTTCAGTACAGTTTAAGTGGAACCATGTGAAAAGGCCATTTTTATGGGCAAAAATCTGTTGAAATGCCAGCACTTTGGTTTGGTTCATCCTAATAACAGACTTGTGTGGTACTTGTTAAGTCTATTGATCTGTGAGCACACACGGTCACTCCGATGAACCAGACGCTTACTTACATAGCCTTTCCTGTTGACAGGCTGTTCTGGCATATTCCACGTCAGGCCTCCCCATCAGCACACCAGCTTCTGCTTTCTAGATGGGGAGGTTTGACCCTAAAGACGTTGAAAGGAACTTGCTCGGAAACATGCTCTTCTGTGTCACGTGGGGAACTCAAATTCGGGAGTCCCGGGGGACACAGAGGCTGTTGCAGGCTGAGGGCTCTGCGGGCGCGCTCTGCCCCAGCCCTGAGCACGGGTGGGGTCCGGGTTTGCTTGGTCACTCTTGTTAGCAGTGGAGTTGCAGAATGGTTGGACTTCCAGAATAACGTCCTTCAGCGGACCACACGGCACTGGCTAGAAATGCGGGGAGGCCGCCGTGGGCACAAAAGCTCCTGACCACCTCCAGCACACGGCGCTTTACTCAGATCTTTTTGTGCTCGCGGCCGTTGGATTTGGCCAGCAGTTTGAGGTGCTGCCTGTCTCTTACCCTTTTTAACAAATGGTAAACAGCTTCAGTGGGGTTTGCAGAAGGAAGCTGTGGTTTCTGGTCTTCCTGTTCATTCACATATTTTTTTCAGAGGGAGGGCTAACATCTGACCATATTTTTCAACAAGATCAGAAGTGAACAGAGGAGAATGCACAGTAACTTTCGGCAGAGGGGGAGGAACCAGAGCTCCTCCTCAGACTATCCAGCGGGTGCCCCATGGAGAACGAGGTAGGTGCAAGTCCAGCGGGGAAGGAGCCGGCCAGAACGAGCGTGTGGGCCCGTCGGGGGTGTGCTCATGAGCCAGGGTGACCCAGGCCCACGATCCCCGCTTTGGGAAGAGGGGAGGAGGGTTCCCTCTGGCTTCCGGGTCTGAGAAGCAGTGGCTGGTGGCGGTCGGTGAACAGATGAGGAGGGCCCACCCGTCTTAACCCAAGGAGTAGGAGGCCTAGGTGTCCGATCTGCGGGGGAAGAGCAGGTTTCACGTGGATTTGTGGTTGGTTAGGACGCAGGATCTGAGTAGGAATGTGATTTAGGGAAAGGGTGAAGACAAAGAGCCCACCGCACCGGTAGACACACATCCAGAATGTTGTCTGTGCCAGGACCCCACAGAAGTTGCGTGTGCCCCCTGCGCAAGCCGTCGGGGGCCCTGAGGTGGGGGCCTTGCAGTCTGGGGAACGCTGGAGGGCACGGGCTGTGTCCTGCTCCTCCTGGGCATCTAGTCCCTCAAACAGGTTCTCTTCCTGTTGGTGGGCACTTCGTGCCGAAGATTTCTTTAAAAGCACATCTGTTGACCCGCGTAGCTGAGAATGCTGGTAGTTAGTTGATACTAAGATGAGGCCTGGGGGTGAGTCTGGGGGCGCCTGGCTGGCTCTGTTGGAGGAGCCTGCGACTCGTGATGTCGGGGTTGTGAGTTGGAGCCCCGCACGGGGTGTAGCGAAGACTTAAAAGTCTTAAAAACAAGAAAAGGTCGGCAGTGTTGCCGCATGGGCGTGACACGAAGGTGCTCTGTGGCTGGAAGCTCGAGGGAGAGGATGGGCCAGGGTGCCGAGTGTGCCCGCTGGCTGCCCGGCCTCGGGTTTCTGCCGAAACGGGCCCGCGAGCTGTTTGCCCGACCACCGCTCTGGCCTCGGTGCCTCCCCCGGGCTTGACCGCAGCCCTGCGTGGCCCTGACTGCTGCGTGCAGCTGCCCGTCCGCCGGGCCCCGGGGAGGGACGGAGGCTCCCTCACGTGACAGCCCCAGGGTCGGGCATCGACCACGCACTTGTTAGACATCTGCTGAATGCTGGACTGAAGGACACCCGCAGCCTTGCACTTGGAAAGGGTTTGTTTGGGGGCAGTTTTGTATCAACCAAAGGATCGGTAAGATAGTCCTCGAGAACGTGTGGACCTGCACCAAGGCGCTCAGGGTGCTCTGCGCGGTCCTTCGCCTCCTGGCTGCTGGGGCCTCGTGCAGGGCACGCCGAGCCGAGCGCTGTGCACATGGAGCCAGCTGCCGTGTTGCCTTATGATTAGCTCTGGTCTCAAGGGGAGACCACTGGCCCATGAGTGGTTGCGCTGGTTCTTTCAGAGATGCATTGCTCGTTGTCAGTTAGATGCTCTGGCAGAGACGTTGGCCTCCGAGAATTTACGCAGGAGACACACTTGCTCAGAGCCTGGACGCCCCAGGTGAGCAGAGAAGCCGAGCTTCAGCCCTGCAAAGGCAGGGCCTCCTCTGGGAAACGCTCAGCAGCCAGAACTGAGTGTTTAAGAGCGACCTTCTAGGTCCCCAACTTCAAAGGTGGTTTCAAGCACGGAATGGAAGGTATTGTAAGACTAGGTAAGGACCTAGGGCTCGTTTCCAAGCCAGTTCAGAAAGTTCCCCTCGGTTATAGAAACAGCAGGTGTCCTGTGTGCCACGGAAGCCCCGCATCCCTGCCCCCGCCCCGGACTGGACCCTCAGGGTCCCTTCTCTTCACAGAAGATTTAGGCTTAGGTGGACCCCAGGCCACACCCAGTGCCGGGCTCCATTCTGGAAGGGAAATTGTACTCAGCATCGTGCTCCTCCTGGGGGCTGAGTTCATCCTTTGCCTTCTGGGGTCAGGGATTATGAGATCCTTTTGGGATCAGGTGATAACGATGAACATCAGCGCTCAGTAAAAATTCCTGTTGAGCGAAGGAGGGGCACTGGTACCACTAGAAACGCTTTTAAAACTCGACGTCTTGGTTTGCAGAATATTCCAGAAATTAATCGTGTGATCTGAACACGCCGGGCCTCAGACCGTGTGCTCGTGTTCAGGAACCCTGCTTCTGGGTCAGAATTTCTGAATTGTCTCTCCATGTGTTTTCTTAGCCAGAACCTCACTTTACATTTTCACGTCGAAGAGCGACGTCCGTTCCCAAAGCCGGGGTGCCCTCTTGGTCGCGGCGTGTCTGCAGAGGCGGAGGGCCCCGCGTCCTGCGGCCGGCAGGGAACTCGCCGCTGACCCGCGCTCGGGTGGCAGTGGGAAGGGGCAGCTTTGCCGCGAGCCGTTCCTCTACCCAGGGTTTCAGTGTTCCACTTTCTGGGAAAGCTCGTGCACCACTGGGGTAAAAGCCGGTGGCGTGGGCATTCAGGGCTCTGCACGGAGGCTGTCCCCACCGGGCCGTGCTTGGCCGGCGGGTCGTGCCTCACAGGCTCGGGCCTCGTTGCCACGGCGACACCTTTGCAGACAGGGCAGTCGCCACTGACGTGTGCCTCCGGGCGCAGGTTTCCATCCTGCGTTCAGTGCCTGTCACCTGCTCTGGGCTCACTGCCCAGCCTGCCTGTGCTCTCTTGACGTAGGAGCCGTCTCGTTCCCCCACGGGGCCTTCCCACGCCTGGGCAGCGTGGGCACCGAGTGTTCGCTGACCAGCACTTACCCCTCCCCCGGGTGCCAGGGTCCCGCGCGGGGTCCCAGGGGGTGGCGGCCGAGGAGGACGGGGTGGGGCTCCGCCTCGGGAGTGGCGGCCCTTGGGCAGGCGGGGGCCTCTGGAGTGGGCTGTCGGGTTTTCTCACGCTGCAGGGGCCGCACAGGGGCTGCTGACCCGCCGCAGAGGGTCTGTGTTCAGGGTGGGCTGCAGGGCTGAGGCCCGGCGTCCCTCCCAGCACGGGCCAGTTGTGCGCGCTGACTGCGATTTTGTGAGCTGCACCTCACGCACAGGGGGGCAGCATGGGTTGCGTGCGATCTGTGGATCTGGTGATTTGCCGTGGGCGTCACAGTCAGAGGCCGACCTTGCAGACCTGTCCTCTCAGAGTTGATTTCCGTTCCTCCCAGGAGCAGAGGTGGAGAGAGGTGGGAGAGCGCATGTGAGTGGCTGTGTGTGCCGCTGGTTCAGACCCGCCCTCAGCCTGTGCTCCGGCTGGTCACGATCGGGAGGGCGAGCCTTGTGGGGTCGCCAGGGGGAGATGGTGTGGGCACAGACGTCTGCGTCTGTGGGGCTCGCACGTCTCGAGAGGGTCAAGGTTTGCACGTGCCCATCACAGGAACTGGGAGGTGCTCTGTGTACGGAAGGCAGGGGTCAGGAATGGCCCTGCTGACCGGGATGCGGGCCAGAGAGGCAGCCCCAGTCCCGCGTGGCCTGCCTGCCTGGGGTAGGGCTGGTGAAACGTGGTGTTCGCTTTATCACATTTCCAGGGTCATTTTCTTTTCTTTTCTTTTTTTTTTTTTTTTTAAAGATTTTATTTATTTATTTGACAGAAAGATAGAGAGAGAGCCCAAGTAGGCAGAGAAGCAGGCAGAGGGAGAGGGAGAAGCAGAGTCCCTTGCTGAACAGGGAGCCCAATGCGGGGCTCAGTCCCAGGACCCCGAGATCATGACCTGAGCCGAAACCAAGTGTGGGACGCTCAGTTGACTGAGCCACCCAGGCACCCCTTGTTATACCTTTTTAATCTAGTTTGGCACCTGGTACCTTTTGATTCTGCCTTCACATTTAATGTAATTATTGATAGGCTTGTGTTTGCCTCTTCCCTGTTTGTTTTCTGCTTCTCTTTTGTGCTTTGTTCCTCCTTCATCTGTCTTCTTTTGGGTCGAGTGCTTGTAGGGGTCTGTCGTGTTGCTCACCACTGTGTAGGTTGCAGGACGCACCCGTAACTTGTCCCAGACAGCCGTGAGTCACTGTCATGCTCTTTCTCGTCTGCTGCGAGAGCCCGTCAGCAGTAGTGGTCCACGGACGCTGCCTCCTGTCTTTGCAGAACTTTTGACATTTTATTCCTGTACATGTAATAAAGCCAACATTATTTTTGCTGTAGACTATTGAATTTTTACCTTTTTATATTGAAATAATTTTAAGTTTACAAAGAAGTTGGATAAATAGTACACAGAGTACCCAGTTACCTTTCACCCAGATCCCCCAATTGTTAACATTTCTAAGCTATTTAAGAAGCAATTGCATGGGGTGCCTGGGTGGCTCAGTC